ATGAATTGGGACTGAGGAATTCAGAAAATCAGACGAATCTCATTCAGCCAGAACAACATTTTTGACCAAAAGTAGAAAGAACCACTGTCAGTGTTGTCAGTAAGTGCCTAATATTAAAATAATGAATGGGGCGAGAAGCTCAGAAATGAGGACAGAAAGGCTGTCAGTTGCTAGATCGATGGCGAGAACGAAACAAAAGATAAGGATATGAGGAATAGCTAACCTTTGGTGGAAGAAACATGATGAACGGATAAGCCAGAGCAGCTATTGCTTGCCCAAAAATACCAACTGGAAATCGCATTTCACCGGGCACAAACGAGCTAAAAAATTTTGTTAAATTGATCCATGAAAAAGGCCATGGTAAATGTAAAGTACTAAGATCGCACAAGCAACTGATGTGAAATGCCATGTTAGTTATGCTACTGGAGCATGAATACGCCAAGTGCAGCTGTGTCGTCAAGCCTTTCGATCCTGCCTGTTGTCGCGGAAAACCAACGAAAATTCGGTTAAGAAGTCGCCACAATGAAAAAAGGTGAATGAAAAAAAAGCGGTATCCTGCCTTGAAAGGCAGATACACAGTAGATGCACTGCCAGGCTGAATATGGAGCACAAGAACCAGTGGCGTAGCGGCAACACATTGCATTCGGACGTGAACAGGAGTGGTTCGACTCCCCGGTCCAAAACAACTTTTGAAAAGAGGCTTCGTTCACGACACCTGTTCGATGTATGTGCGTCACATCTTTGGTAGCCACCCACTGTCGTTTACTTTCACCGTAGGATCTATTCATTAGCATGCAGCAGCATGTCCTGCCCATCAAATTTTATTTCCCCACGTGTTCACAGTCACACGCGTTTCATTTGACGAAGCGCCTGACTACTTATATGGTCACGAAGAGACACTTCAAACATCCTTCGCTCCACCGCTTTCTTTGGTACAATCAGCGATTGCTCTTCTGCTTTCATCAGTGATCACGCTTCGCGCCTGTTTCCGAATATATCAATTCAAAAATTAGGAAGGCTTACCTGACAAGACGAATGGATCCGCCAATACCATTTGCCCAAGCAGCAATAAGAATAGATAGCCGAAGTCCAAATGAACTTCCCATCCACATAGAAAAAAAGCCTACCGGAATTGTACATATTATA